ACACCCAATCGTACCAGAATTTCCTGCTCGAGTTTTTCATAATCCTGTGCATCCACAGCTTCTAAGTCATAATAGGTCTTCTGTGGTTCCCCAGTAAGTAAGGGGGCGAGCAGTCCTGCCCACTGGGTTTTAGGCCAACTTTACCTCTCAGGGGTTCTTTCAAACCTAACCAGGTCATCAGCAGCAGTCATCTTGGACAAAAAGTGACCCACATGGATAGCTTGAGGAGTAATCCAGAACACCTGCGACATATATATTTTACAGCTTCCACCATATTTGCAGCTCTTACCGACGTGACTTGTGTGTTCCCCGGGCTCTACGACACTGCCTGTGTGACCCAGGTGATTCTAAATTTCCAAGAGTTAGAGGTGCAAAACCCAGCCTAGATATGGAATCAGAGGTTTCTAAAAGTGTACAAGAAGAGCCTGCGAGATGTGTAAACCCCATACTTTTCAGGCTCTCGTATATCCCTGCTGACCCTCTTTGCTTGTACCACCAAATAACACCCAATTGTACCAGAATTTCCTGCTCGAGTTTTCCATAATCCTGTGCATCCAGCTTCCAAGGTATAATAGGCCTTCTGTGGTTCCCCAGTAAGTAAGGGGGTGAGCAGTCCTGTCTACTGGGTTTTAGGCTAACCTTACCTCTCTGGGGTTCTTTTAAACCTAACCAGAAAGGTCATCATCAGCAGTCATCTTGGACAAAAAGTGACCCACGTGGATAGCTGAGGAGCACTCCAGAACACCTGCGGCATATACAGTGGGGCAAAAAAGTATTTAGTCAGCCACCAATTGTGCAAGTTCTCCCACTTAAAAAGATGAGAAAGGCCTGTAATTGGCATCATAGGTAGACCTCAACTATGAGAGACAAAATGAGAAAAAAATCCAGACAATCACATTGGCTGATTTGGAAAGAATTTATTTGCAAATTATGGTGGAAAATAAATATTTGGTCAATATCAAAAGTTCATCTCAATACTTTGTTATATATCCTTTGTTGGCAATGACAGAGGTCAAACGTTTCCTGTAAGTCTTCACAAGGTTGGCACACACTGTTGCTGGTATGTTGGCCCATCCTCCATGCAGATCTCCTCTAGAGCAGTGATGTTTTGGGGCTGTCGCTGGGCAACACGGACTTTCAACTCCCTCCAAAGGTTTTCTATAGGGTTGAGATCTGGAGACTGGCTAGGCCACTCCAGGACCTTGAAATGCTTCTTAAGAAGCCACTCCTTCATTGCCCGGGTGGTATGTTTGGGATCATTGTCATGTTGGAAGACCCAGCCACGTTTCATCTTCAATGCCCTTGCTGATGGAAGGAGGTTTGAACTCAAAATCTCACGATACATGGCCCCATTCATTCTGTCCTATACATGGATCAGACGTCCTGGTCCCTTTGCGGAGAAACAGTCCCAAAGCATGATGTTGCCACCCCCATGCTTCACAGTAGGTATGGTGTTCTTTGGATGCAACTCAGCATTCTCTCTCCTCCAAACACGACGAGTTGTGTTTCTACCAAACAGTTCTATTTTGGTTTCATCTGACCATATGACATTCTCCCAATCCTCTTCTGGATCATCCAAATGCTCTCTAGCAAACTTCAGACGGGCCTGGACATGTACTGGCTTAAGCAGGGGGACACGTCTGGCACTGCAGGATCTGAGTCCCTGGCGGCGTAGTGTGTTACTGATGGTAGCCTTTGTTACGTTGGTCCCAGCTCTCTGCAGGTCATTCACTAGGTCCCTCTGTGTGGTCCTGGGATTTTTGCTCACCGTTCTTGTGATCATTTTGACCCCACAGGAGTGAGATCTTGCGTGGAGCCCCAGATCAAGGGAGATTATCAGTGGTCTTGTATGTCTTCCATTTTCTAATTATTGCTCCCACAGTTGATTTGTTCACACCAAGCTGCTTGCCCTATTGCAGATTCAGTCTTCCCAGCCTGGTGCAGGTCTACAATTTTGTTTCTGGTGTCCTTCGACAGCTCGTTGGTCTTCACCATAGTGGAGTTTGGAGTGTGACTGTTTGAACTTGTTATCAGTAAAAAAGACACCTGTCCACAACCTCGAACAGGTGCCATTGATACAGGTAATGAGTGCAGGACAGAGGATCCTCTTAAAGAAGAAGGTACAGGTCTGTAAGAGCCAGAAATCTTGCTTGTTTGTAGGTGACCAAATACTTATTTTCCACCATAATTTGCAAATAAATTCTTTCCAAATCAGCCAATGTGATTGTCTGGATTTTTTTTCTCATTTTGTCTCTCATAGTTGAGGTCTACCTATGATGCCAATTACAGGCCTCTCTCATCTTTTTAAGTGGGAGAACTTGCACAATTGGTGGCTGACTAAATACTTTTTTGCCCCACTGTATATTTTACAGCTTCCACCATCTTACAGACATGACTTGTCTGTTCCCCAGGCTCTAGAACAGTGCCTGTGTGACCAAGGCGATTCTAAATTGCCAAGAGGGAGAGGTTCAAAACCAAACCTAGATATGGAATCAGAGGTTTCTAAAAGTGTACAAGAGGAGCCTGGGAGATGTGTAAACCCCATACTTTTCAGGCTCCTGTATAACTCTGCTGACCCGCTATGCTCGTACCAACAAATAACACCCAATTGTACCAGAATTTTGTGCTCGAGTTTTTCATAATCCTGTGCATCCACAGCTTCTAAGTCATAATAGGCCTTCTGTGATTCCCCAGTAAGGGGCGAGCAGTCCTGTCTACTGGGTTTTAGGCCAACCTTACCACTCAGGGGTTCTTTCAAACCTAACCCGAAAGGTCATCATCAGCAGTCATCTTGGACAAAAAGTGACCCACATGGATAGCTTGAGGAGCAATCCAGAACACCTGCAACATATACATTTTACAGCTTCCACCATATTTGCAGCACTTACCGACGTGACTTGTCTGTTCCCCGGGCTCTAGAACACTGCCTGTGTGACACAGGCGATTCTAAATTTCCAAGAGTTAGAGGTGCAAAACCCAACCTAGATATGGAATCAGGGATTTCTAAAAGTGAGGAGCCTGCGAGATGTGTAAACCCCAAACTTTTCAGGCTCCTGTATAACAGTCTGCTACACCACCCATGAGTACAGAAGGACAGGGGCTGTTTAAATATTTTTTTTATTTCATTTAAAACTTTTTGTTTTATACAATATCCCTTTATTTTTAACAACTTTATTGCAGTCACAAGGGATGAACAACATCCCTTGTGATAGCATGGACCATGGATAGGTCCTCTTTATGGAGAGATCTGGAGTCTATTAGACCCCAGCTGTCTCCTATGGCCTCTAAAGCATCTGATCAAATTGAGTTTGGTTTGATCATGTGCTTGTACCAGCCGATAACGACTTGTATACATCAAACCAGAACCATCAGCGAGGAAATCCTCTCCGCTTCTGGTTTCTGAGAGTGAGGAACAACCTCAGTTCCTCCTTCTCTGTTCAGTCAATGGGATGCCACCAGTTGGAGCAGTCCCGGACTGATAGGAAAGGCAGTGCAAGGGGAGGAGGGTACCACATTCTGCCATCTGTAGAAGTGATCGAGTGGCTCTATAGCCACTCGAATCATTGCTATTGTAAAAGGAAATCACCGCCTGAAATTTTTTATAACAGGTGCAGACAGCGTCCCAGTATAACCACTAAACCCTAGGATCCGGGTATGACCAGAAATGTGTGGACTGACACAGGGAAGTAGCAGGCTTCAGGAACACAGGCGTAGTCAGGGCTGGAGAGGTGGAATGGTCAGGCGGGCCATAAGGTACCGTCAGGCATCGCCCGGCGGGATCTCTAGTGACCCACAGAACAGGATTCCCCAGGGCGCGGAGTCTAAGTCCCAGTCTGCCTTTTCACCAGAGCCCCTGGTGGTGGGGATGGACTTGGCGCAGGACTGAGACCAGGTTGCGGCCCCTGAGTGCACCCAACTGTGGTAGAGGGGTCCGCCATGGGTATGTACCGGGGGAAAGCCTGATGTAAAGGGGCTGGCAGGTTTGGACAGTAGTGACTGGATCTGTGCAGGATGGATGGATCATCTGGGTAGCATCAGGCGTAGTCAGGCAGGCCAGGTCAGCAACATTCAGGCAGTGAGGTACTGGAGGAGCAGGCAGAGAATAGTCAGGGTCACAAGCCGGGTTCAGTAACTCACGGGCAGCGCGGTACAGAGGATCAGGCAGAAGGATGGTCAGGCAAGCCAGGGGTTCAACAGGAGATGGTCAGCAACAATGCAGAGGTCGGCAACAGAAGATAGGCAGAGGCACAGGAACACAGGATACCAGGTAAAGGGGCTCATGGGAAACATACACCAAGGCCCTGATCACAGGCCTGGTCCTGCTTAAATACACCTCCTGCCATCAGCTTCAGCTGATGGCTGACTGCAGGAGTGAGCTTCTGGTTGCTGAGAGCACCCGCTGGCCAGCCCTGGTACTGCAGCCCACATGGCAGGTGAGTCCCACCACCAGTGATGAATCCATTCCTGACAACTTCATAAGACGTCCTACTGGCGGCAAGGGGTTAAATAAATGTCTCCTGACATTTAGGGGTCTCCTCATAAAAAAAAATTGCATAGCAATTTATCAAATAAAAGTGCATGTACATTCCCTCTGTGTATTCGGAGGTAAAGAACAAAGAAACCAGGCCTGACATACTAAACTAAAGGGTCGATAAACAGAAAATTTGTTGGTCGAGTGTGATAAGCATTTGCCCAGCTGCGATAAATTGGGTCCATAATTTCATTAACATAGTGATTTCCTATAATAGCCAGCTCCATCTAGTGGCCATAAGAACGTATTGATCTCCTTATGAACTGTTTCTTCCATGATGAAGATCAGCCATGGAGTATATCTGAGGTGTATATCAGGGTGTGCTTCTTCCCCACATGAGAGCTGGGATGTCCAGCAACATTCATCTAGAAGACATTTCCCGCACTCAAGGCACTAATACACCTCCAGGGTTGTGTGGGACCCCTGATGTACAGGAAGACAGGACTTCAGTGAGGAACATTTCCCTCACTCAGGACAGGAAAGTGGCTTCTCCCCCATGTGAGATCTCTGATGTGTGTAAAGATGGGACTTCTGTGAAAAACATTTCCCGCACTCAGGACAGGAATACGGCTTCTCCCCCGTGTGAGATCTGATGTGTGTGAAAGATGGGACTTCTGTGAAAAAACATTTCCCACACTCAGGACAGGAATACGGCTTCTCCCCCGTGTGAGATCTCTGATGTGTGTAAAGATGGACTTCTGTGAAAAACATTTCCCACACTCAGGACAGGAATACGGCTTCTCCCCCCGTGTGAGATCTCTGATGTGTGTAAGATCATAAAGATTAGACTTACTGAAAAACATTTCCCACACTCAGGACAGGAAACGGCTTCTCCCCCGTGTGAGATCTCTGATGTGTGTAAAGACAAGAAAAACATTTCCCAGGAATACTTTCCCCTGTGTGAAAAAGCATTTCTGCACATTTCAGAACAGGACAGGAATATGGCTTCTCCCCCGTGTGAGATCTCTGATGTTTGTAAAGATGGACTTTAATTTACAAAAACATTTCCCACACTCAGGACAGGAAAACGGCTTCTCCCCCCCCTGTGTGAGATCTCTGATGTGTGTAAAGATTGGACTTCTCTGAAAAACATTTCCCAACTCAGAACACAGGAAATGGCTTCTTCCCCCCCGTGTGAGAATCTCTGATGTGTGAAAGATGTGACTTGTGAAAAACATTTCCCACACTCAGGACAGGAATACGGCTTCTCCCCCGTGTGAGATCTCTGATGTGTGAAGACAGAACTTCCGTGAAAAAAAAACATTTCCCACACTCAGGACAGGAATACGGCTTCTCCCCTGTGTGAGATCTCTGATGTGTGTAAAGATTGACTTCTGTGAAAAACCTTTCCCGCACTCAGAACAGGAATATGGCTTTTCCCCGTGTGAGATCTCTGATGTTTGTAAAGATTGGACTTTAAGTGAAAAACATTTCCCACACTCAGGACAGGAATACGGCTTTTCACCCGTGTGAGATCTTTTATGCATATTAAGATGGATTTAAATTTGAAACCCTTCCCGCACTCAGTACAGGAGAACCTCTTCTTGTTGGAAGGCCCGGCCCGGTCCCGCACAGTCTGAGGTTCCTCAGGATACGAGGAATCCGATGGTCCATCTACACTGGGTGGTGCCGGATGGACATTGGAGGGAGCCGGGTTTTCTCCTGGACTATACTGTGTGATGTCCTCATCTTCTACTTTCCAGTCTGGAGACAAAGTGAGACAATCCTCGGAGGTTTTCCTCATCTCCCGGCCATGGACTAAAATACAAAGACAAAGAGGATTACTAGACAGGAGCTGATTGGTTCCCCCAAACCAGGACTCCGCCCACATCAGGCAGCTTGGTCTCTGAGGAGCTTACAATTCCACCCTCAAGGGAACTAGGAAATGGCTCCTCTGATCTCCTACCAGGTCATTTCTTTATTCATGGACCTTAGTCAGAGAGTGAGGAAACAACCAGAACTGTCTTTTATAGGAGGGACAGTGATGAGGGGATTATAGACGAGGGTCCCCACCCCCTCTATCACTCATCGCCATCTTCCCAACACAAGAAGTACTGCACTTCCTTATTTAGTCCCATGATTTAGTCATGAAGAACAGCGGGGCTGAGCCCCACCAGAGGTCAGAGAGTGAGGATGGGGGAGAGAACAACCAAGATGAAGACTGGACTGATCCTGAAGACCACCATCATTGGGGTATTGACTCCTCCCTCATTATCACTTTCTGTTTAAGGGTCCAAAGTTGGAGGATGTTATCACATTATTATCACCATGTAAAAGTCTGTGCTCCAATCACATCATCCGATATAAAATGTCCAGCTGGGAGGAAATGGGTGTAACAAAAGAGAATCCATATTATGTGTATATATAGCAGTGGGGGGAGGGGGGGAGGGAGAGCAGCAAAGTGTCAGGACTATGGAATGTACAACATAGAGTATGTATAGTGCAACATAGGGGTCAGGAGTATGTAATGTACAACATAGAGTATATAGTGCAGGGGGCAGGAGTATGTAATGTACAACATAGAGTATATAGTGCAGGGGTCAGGAGTATGTAATGTACAACATAGAGTATATAGTGCAGGGGTCAGGAGTATGTAATGTACAACATAGAGTATATAGTGCAGGGGTCAGGAGTATGTAATGTACAACATAGAGTATATAGTGCAGGGGTCAGGAGTATGTAATGTACAACATAGTATATAGTGCAGGGGTCAGGAGTATGTAATGTACAACATAGAGTATATAGTGCAGGGGTCAGGAGTATGTAATGTACAACATAGAGTATATAGTGCAGGGGGGTCAGGAGTATGTAATGTACAACATAGAGTATATAGTGCAGGGGTCAGGAGTATGTAATGTACAACATAGAGTATATAGTGCAGGGGTCAGGAGTATGTAATGTACAACAATAGAGTATATAGTGCAGGGGTCAGGAGTATGTAATGTACAACATAGAGTATATAGTGCAGGGGTCAGGAGTATGTAATGTACAACATAGAGTATATAGTGTGCAGGGTCAGGAGTATGTAATGTACAACATAGAGTATATAGTGCAGGGGTCAGGAGTATGTAATGTACAACATAGAGTATATAGTGCAGGGGTCAGGAGTATGTAATGTACAACATAGAGTATATAGTGCAGGGGTCAGGAGTATGTAATGTACAACATAGTAGTATATAGTGCAGGGGTCAGGAGTATGTAATGTACAACATAGAGTATATAGTGCAGGGGTCAGGAGTATGTAATGTACAACACACAGAGTATATAGTGCAGGGGTCAGGAGTATGTAATGTACAACATAGAGTATATAGTGCAGGGGTCAGGAGTATGTAATGTACAACATAGAGTATATAGTGCAGGGGTCAGGAGTATGTAATGTACAACATAGAGTATATAGTGCAGGGGTCAGGAGTATGTAATGTACAAACATAGAGTATAGTGCAGGGGTCAGGAGTATGTAATGTACAATCTCCCTAGTATATCTTAGTGCAGGGGATCTGAGGACAGTATGTAGTATGTACAACCAGAGTATATAGTGCAGGGGTCAGGAGTAGTGTAATGTACAACACAGAGTATATTGTGCAGGGGTCAGGAGTATGTAGCATACAATATAACTTATTGTACGAGACACTATGCAGTGCACATGTTTCGTCCTGCCCCTGGTTGGATCAATGTAGTTTTTGCTCTGCTGTACTCAATGGAGCAGCAATCTATTTTCTATGTCTGGTCAGATCTCACCAAGCCTGGTGGTTGATTGCTCCAGCCTGACTCTGGAAGAACATTCCAGAAGTAGTGAGGAAAATCAGCCACTGGGGATTATGAATATTTATCTCACCAGCAGCCAATCGCTGGGAAGGGGATCCCAGAAAGGTGTTTGGGGAGAAGATAAATGTTTGGGAGGCCCGCTCAGTCCTGGGGCCTCGTTTCTGAGAGGCATCCTGTGTTTCAGACTCAAGGACACTTGCTGTCAGGACCTCACTAGCATGTACTTGACTGAGTGACTAAAAGAACCTGGAATCAAAGACATTTGCTGGAGACCACTACCTGGTAGGTACTGGTATCTGGGCTTGCAGCCCCTGCACAGGTGAGGACACTTGCTTATCTCCAGTGGCCCCTGCAAGGATGATCACCACATACCACAGAGTAAAAAGTACAGGGCTTAAGGCTTTGTAATGTGTAGTATAAATCATACAGTGTAAAATGTCAGGACTTGTAATATTGGAATGTTTAAGTAGTAATGATTATGCAGGGGTCTAGTAAATGTCAAATGTTTGCAGAGGTCCCACACCGCGGCCTCCCATCTCCTGAGACTGCACTCAGTGACTTGGGTCTGAGACTATACAGACATATCCCTCCACCCGGCACAGCCAGCAGACAACAGAGCAAGGAACCCTGGGAGAATTACTCTGTCAGGGATCTTACTATGCCTGGCATGGGGAAGGAGACCCAAAACACATGTCCCAGGTGCCTAGGTTTAGCAACGAGTGTGAAAAAAATCACATGCTAGCCAAAACCCAGAATGTCCATAAATCCAGTCTAGATACATAAATTGTGTCTGCAGCACAGAGAAGGAAGATTATCCGAGAGAAATACAGGACGGGGAACACAGACTCAGGAAAGGAAAGTGACCAGCAGGGCCTCCATCAGAGGGATACAGCCCATACACATGTAGGGGGGCATGGGTGTCCCGAGTTGTCTGCTGCTGTTGTGTTTTCTTTCAGTAACAAGAGGGAAGAAAGCTCAATGGATGGATAGGCTCCTCCTCTCACCTACAGCTTCCTTTGTTTGGCCAGCACCGGTCATCACGTGATTAGTGGTTTTGCGCAGTTCAGTCAAACTGAATGGAAGGGGGGTGAGAAAGAGGGGGAGTGGAAAGGTTGGACTATATGTGTCTGAGAGGAAAGGGCTGCATCTGACATCATTGACATCCGGGATCGGAGCTTAGTTGATTGGGGTGGTGTGGAATGAGGGGGAAGGGGGGGAGCTTTTGGTCAGATCGGCCAGCCAATTGAATGTGTAGGTGTTACATTGCTGCTGCACAGTTCCTATACCTGTGAGCTGAGCTGACATTCCTGCAGACTGGGAATATGCAGATGATGAGTACATATGCTAAATGTGGTTGTGGGTTTGTCCTGTGACTGTCTCTTTGTTGGATTGGGCTGTCTCTTTGCTAAATATATGGGGATGTCTTTTGCTGGATTGAGCTTTTTCTTTGCTGGATGGGGATGTCTGCTGGGAGGATTGGGATGTCTCTTTCCTGAATATATGGGGATGTCATGCTGGTTTGGGGCATCTCTTTGCTGAATTAGGATGTCTCTATGCTGAATATATGAGGATGTCTCTCTGCTAAATTGGGCTATCTCTTTGCTATATGGTTATGTCTCTTTGCAGAGTTGGGCTGTCTCAATGTTGTATATATGCTGGGGGCTCTTTGCTGGACTGAGCTGTTTCTTTGCTAATTATGTTCGGGTGTCTCTGCTGGATTGGGCTGTCTTTTTGCTGTATGGGGAGGTCTGCTGGATTGGAATGTCTCTTTGCTGGAAGGAGAGGTCTGCTGGATTGGAATGTCTCTTTCCTGAATATATGGGG